TGTGTGTGTGTGTGTTGGGTGAGCTGTTTAGCCTGATGGGCCCCGAAGAGGACAGATGACCAGCAGAGCAGAAGAAACTGCAGAGCTGAATAACTCTTCCATCCCTCCGTCACGTCAGGAGGAATTCAGCGCTGTGCGAGACACCCGGCCTAAGTGTTGTGACGCCTAATTACCACCAGCAGCAGCACCCGGCGGCACCCGCGGCAGAGCAGGGCTCCTTCGGACGGACAGCCCTTTGTAGTTTCACACGCAGAAGGAAGGAGAGCAAGGGAGAGAAAAGAGACCGGGAGGTTTTGGGGGGGGGGGGGTGAACTGCTCGTGTTGGGAGGTGGACTAAAAAGAATGTGAGGTCTGTTTGAAGTTTTAGCCATTTTTTATTTTCTCCTCATAGGACTCACTTTTCTGACTCATCAAAACACCTCTTTCTTTCCTTCCTTTGTTTTTAACAATATTTCTTTCTCTTCCCCGCATTGAACTTGACACTTTGTCCTACTTTCCCCAGACAAGGCACCTTTAACAGCACCTATACAGAGTCAGCTGGGCCTCTTCCCGGTGTGCTAAACACTGGCTCATGTGCTGCTGTGTGGGTGGTGTACAGTGTGTGTATCCCTTGATTTGCTTATTTTTATGTTTTTTTTTACTTGAATTGCAAGTTTGACGTAGTAATCCAAAGGGTTGGTGGAAATATTATTCTCTTGCTGAAAAACCTTAAAATATAGTTGTTTAGTTTCACAAATATTTTTTGTCTAAATTTTCTGAAAACATGCCCGCTTCTGTTGAGTGTACACGCATGGCACTACAGCATCCATACAGTATGTTCTCTGCGTGGTAAAGTGTAAATGGTCAGTGTGCATTATGGCCAAATGATGTGTTTTCTTGCTCTAAGGAACATTGTAGCAGAACCAGTCCTATGCCATTAGCTGTACAGCAAATATGATTTCACGGCATCCATTGAGTCCTTTCACCAAGAATTTGTGTTGAGGCGTTCATGTAGGCTTGAACATGAGGAGCAGCAGGGCCATCACACTTTGGTCCATCTCATTTAGAGCTGGCATGCTTAACACAATCTCTCTCTCTCTCTAACACACACACACACACACTCGTTCAGTGGGGAGGGGGTGCGAGAGCAGGGCGGGTGTTGCCTGGCACACTAATCGGCATGACAGAAATAAAATAAAGAGAGTTGGACTCCGTCAAAACATGTATGGCCCCTTAAACAGAGAGCTAATAAAAGAGCTAAAGCTGCTTGTCCTTTCAGCTGAGGCTGCCTGATCACACACCAACAGTCACATTATCTTAATTCAGGGGATTCTTTTAAGTGTCTCCTTAAACAACGGAGAGAACGCTGCTCAGGAAAGACAAATGAGTTTACCAGTTTTAGCAGGGGTAAGTGCCTAAATCCAGCGCCATCGATCCCTATCTTGGTTATTACGAGGCTGTGAGCTGCCACTGGAGCTCCACTGGTCGAAAAGGCTTAAAATATTACCGACTAAAGAGGGAGGAGAGATGCGTTTGAAGCAAACCACCTCGTCCTCTGTAGTGGTCAATACCTGCAGGCGCCACAGGAAGGGCATTCACACATGCAAACACTCATGAGTGACAGTCCCGACCACCCCCATGTTACACACACACACACACA